GTGGGGTTATCCAGATGCGGCTAAACCATGACAGTCTTTTTTGGCACCCCAGATGGGGCTCGAAGGGTTTGAGACAACAACAAATTAACCAGAGCTTATTAAGGAATTTATATCTGTTAATAGATGTAATAGAAAAGTAGATGATTTTAATTTGACTTAGTGGCTTCAAAAACTTGCTCACAGATTTATTACCTGAAAAAATGTGCATGAACAGTCTGTAGTTGTAGCACGGGTTTCCATCTGGGCTGAAGAGAATTTTTTTTAGTGTGTAGGTGCATGAAGAGTGTGATCTCTTTTGTGGTGGGTGCTGCCTCCTTCTCTGTGGATTCTTAGTTCTTGAACAGAAGGAGACTGGTTTCTGCAAGTGTGGCAGTGCACACAGAACTGTTGCATGAACAGGCAGTGCTGTACGCTGTATTTCTGTACTCTCTCATTGCACGTGATGATTTTTTGTCTCTGAATATTTTAAATTTCTGTTTACTGTACAGAAAGCTCAAGGGGGGTTAGTGTTAAGTATTGACTGTTGCATCTTCCTACCTAAAATTGTAGGTTATTCCACTGAGGAAGGTAATGTGGTGATTATGTCAGATACATTCGATACAGTTCTGTTTATTTACAAAAATATATAAAACTGTATTGGCACAAGTACAGAAGGGATTCGCAAGTCTTCATCTAGTGCTTGTTCTGGTTGTGCTGGTCTCACAACATGACTCACCCAAAGACCCTTCCACATTGCTCCGTGGGCCCTGGCCACATTCCTCTGTACCTTGGCCTGAGGCAGCCAAATGTATATCCATGTTTTAAGTTTGGTGCCATATTTCAGTTACCTGCTCCAGTGGAGTTACCTGACATCTCACCACAATACACTGAGGCAGCGCCGAGCAGCTTCAGGTTGGTTTCACTTGGCTTCAGCAATGAGCAGAACGAGTACGTATTGCCTTAAGACCCAGTCCTAATGCAATGCTAAGAGCATCCTGTAGATGTTTTCCTGGGCTGTCAGCAGTACCAGCGCACGGGCACTAGGGACCACATCCGACGTAAAAAGGCTTTGGTTGACAATTCGGCTGAAGTGCAATGTCAACATCTCTGTCAGGCTGCACAGAGGCACTTTGCCCGACACAGTGACAGTACTGACTGCGTGTGCACCCTGGAGAGGGGCCGTGGCCTCATGATAGCCCCCTCCCACGGGAGCAAGATGGGTATAGACCCCCCCCTCCCCTCCCAAACATGAGGGTTTTCCTAAATCTTCCCGAGTGACCTGGCTGTTACTGACAACCCTGTGCTTTTGCTTTGGGCTAATACGCCTCCAGGTTTGACCCCGTATTTCCCATACTTGCCATTCTCTACGGCTAATTTGCTTAATACTGGCGCCTGACCGGTGGGAACGGAGTGTCGCTCCCGGCGCGCTCAGCTCCCCCGGCTGGATAAGCCCCCGTGGCTC